TGCTTAGCCATGTTTATTTATTGAGTCGGGTTTTGGCTTCAACACAAACGATGGTCTATCTTATGACATATTTTGTACTTTTTTTTTCTCCTATCAAACATAATTGTATTTATAGCTGGTTGAGTTTTGCTTTCTACAAATTTAGCTACCAAAGTTGTAGGCCTTGGGGGTTTAGTATTCTTATTTTATTCTAGTGCATGAATTTATTATAAGCCTTACTTTAGTCATAACCTTTTGTGAATGTAATTTATATATTGTACTTGAGTACTTCATAGTAATTATTGCTCAAAGTCTCAAACCATAAATCAAGCATTTTATACAATTTTGTTCATGCCCCTTTGTAAAAAAATAAAAAATAAAAAAATTCAATAAGAAATACTTGGTGAGAGGTGCTTACTGACCTATGAGAAATATTGTTGGTTAAATAGTATTTCTTTTCCTTAACTGTTTTAGGGTTTAGGGTTTAAGGTTTCAGGGTTTTACCTGGGTTTAGGGTTTAGGAATTAGGGTTTCAGGGTTTTAGGGTTTAGGGTTTAAGGTTTCAGGGTTTTACCTGGGTTTAGGGTTTAGGAATTAGGGTTTAGGGTTTAGGAATTAGGGTTTAAGGGTTTTAGGGTTTAGGGTTTAGGGTTTAGGGTTTAGGGTTTTAGGGTTTAGGGTTTAGGGTTTAGGGTTTTAGGGTTTAGGGTTTAGGGTTTAGGGTTTAGACTTTGGGGACATAAAGGTTGTTATACCCATATCAGAAGACAAAGTGAAGTGTGTATATTTATGTTTATATTCTCCAGAGGTTGATTCTATCACTAGAATTCAAAGACTGATTTCAATATGTTCAAGGGTTATTGGGTATTGTAAAATTGAATACAAAATCTACTTTTCAATATGTTTCTCTTATGAGTGTAATAGTATCTTGCAATTAAATGTTACTTTGAGAAATTGCAGTTTGTTTTCATTTTCTTGTTGAAACTGTACTCTAATTTACATTTGTGTGTATGTGTGTGTGTTTTTTCTTCCTAAAACAGGTTGGCTGCTAAAACAACCCAATTGGAGGGGGAGAAAATGCAAAAAGAAGCTGAAGTACAGAAACTGATGGATGAAAATGTGAGGTTGCATGCTTTATTAGACAAGAAAGAAGCCCAGCTATTGGCCATGAATGAGCAATGCAAGATGATGGCCCTGAATGCTTCTAATATCTAGACTTAGGGCAATCACAGGTCTCCAAATTGCGTGGTTTGCTTTCTTTATTCCGTACCATTGTACAGCTGCTTAGCTCCATTGTTGTAGCAGAGCTGAATTGCTATGGCATTTTATGTAGCATGGTGGAGGAGCTGCCATAATTGTACTATAGTGAATCGACTGTTGTAACCAATGAAGTGGATTTTTCATTCAATCAATGCTGCCAGAAGGCTTTTATCCTGCGGTTTGCGGTTTCCAAAAGCACCGCTAAGTGTGGTTTGCGATTTTTATACTATATTTTTATTAAAATTATATAAAAGAACTAAAATATATGAGCTAATGTTTTATTATTAGTTAATTAAAGGTTAATAAAAAGAGTTTAATATCAACTAATAATTATAATATAAAATAAAAGTTTTGTTTTAAAAAGGGTTTTTTTGAAAGTGCGGTTTAGTGCGGTTTATGATCCAAACTGCACCGCAAACACCCCGACTCCCCACCTCCGCAATTTCTCCTTCCACCTTTTCTACTCTTCGCCGGAATCCAAACCTCGAAGCTTTCCCTAAAACATCTGTTGAAATTTGCTAGTATCCTCGTCTACGTCCGACAAAACGGTGATGTTTTGGTTCAAAATTGAGGTCAGACTATGTTCGCCAATGAACCGCGACTCCCAAAATTTCAGATGAGTTTGTCTCATAAACGACGGTATACGGTCTAACAACACCTGTCACCGGGAAGAGGAGAAGGCTTGCCGACGAAATTAGGGAAGCGAAGATAAGTCTACCTTGTACTGGAACACCCGGATGCCGTCCACGGTGGTAATTCGCTGGGTATTTATGATTCCAGCAAGATAATGACGGTAAATTCGAGTGGTTTCGGGGTTGCAAGCCCGAGCCATATGGAAGAAGGGAGAAAAACTCTATGAATTTGCATGAAAATTTTGAAGGTTAAGGGTTCTAGCAGAGAGAAATAATGGGTTGGTGAAAAAAAGTCGTTCACCATTGACAATTCCTTTCTCCTTTTGTCCTCTGTTCATAAACCAGAAGAGTTCTAGAAAACGGGGTTTTATTATCAGAAAATTTAGTATCAGAAAATATTTCTGATACTAAAAACGTCAATAGTATCGGATAATTTTTTTTTCTGACACTACTTTGTAGTTGTTTACACAAACTAAGGGCCTATTCTCATTGACTGAACTCAGCTGAACTAAACTGAACTGAAATGAGCTGAACTGAACTGAACTCAGCTGAACTGAAGTGAAATGAATATTTTATAAGAGAAGGAAATTAGGAGCTGAACTGAACTGAGCTGAACTGAACTAAACTGAACTGAAACTGAACTGAATTTCAACGTAAGAGAACAGACCCTAAGTATTAGACTTTGTTATAGTGTTGGAAATTTTTTTATCTGATACAAATGAAATATTAGTATCAGATACATTCCAATACTAATAGTTCTTTTACTATGAAAAATAATTCTGTTACAAGTACACACTTTTTGTAACAATTCTTTCCGATACTAAAGCCAGTTAGCAACTTAGCATTTTAGCACACTAGAGTGTACTCGTGCAAAATGCACGGGATATATATTATATTAGAAAGATATTAAATATATACTATACGAAAAAATATACTTAGAATGCGAGAAGTTGATTTTAATGTTGTAACTTAGACCCTGTTCTTTTGAGCTGTGGTGGACTTGTGTTCTGGTCTGCTCTGCTGAACTCTGCTTAGCTCTGCTCTACTGAATATTATTAGCTTGTTGACACTTGGTTTTCCCTGAAATCTTATGTTCTTTGCTCTGCTCAAAAGCTTAAAAGAACAGGGTCTACTCTTATATGTCGGTGGCCATGCAATGTGGCAAGTAATTATGGGGTTTACTTTGTCAAAGCTATAGAGGTTACCGGGTTAACTTGGTTCAGTGATGTAGGAGTTACTCTGTTCTTTTGCAAATAGTTTTTCGATGAGACCAGTTTCGCAAAAAATGTGTTGTATATATATATATAATTTTTTTTTTGTTTGTTTTGGTTATTAGAGAAGTCGAAGGTGTTTGGAGGGTAGTTCCTAAGAAAATACATATAATCGAATGGTTGGGGATTTTGAGTGTTATGGTGAATTTGTTGATAAATGAACTATATACTCGTGGTACTGCATGTCATCAATTATACTACGTAAAAAAATAACACAAAGTGAAATGTTATTAGTGTATTTTTAAAAAAGTGTAATATTAATAATATTCCCTTTAAAAAATACAAAAAAAAAAAAGAAATTAAAAAAATAGTGGGATGGTAGTTATTGATTTTTTTTGTGGAATGGGTAGTAGTTGTTTTTTTTTATTTATTTTTTTTATTTATTCTTTTTAATTTAAAAAAAAATAAAATAAAAAAATGCATGAGAATTGAGGGAGTTTGGAGCATTTATGTATATTTAAAAGAAAAAATTAATTGTAGTTGTAGATTTTTTTTTGTTTGTTTGAAATAATGGAGAAATGGAAGTTATTGTAATGGAAGTTAAAGAGGTAGTTATTAAAAAAAAAATTAAAAAAAGAGAATGCATAGAATTACTCCATTCAAAGATTGGAGTATTGTGAGTGAAAGTTGAAAAAAAACTCTTAAATTATATATTAGATTTCAAATTTGGCGGTGCAACAAAATTTCAGGGTTGGCAATTTGGCGGTACATTAAAATTTCAGGAAAGTTCAAAATCATTTGGCGCACAAATTTATTTTATTTTAGGTTTTTTTTTTTTTTTTTTTTTTTTTTTTTTTTTTTAATAATATTGCTCTCCATCCCTCTTTCCTACTCAAGCCTCGGATAGTCAGATCTCTCCTCCTCTGTTCATTCTCCTCTCTTCTCTCTTCTCTCTTCCCTCTCAAGCTCTCCTCAAAGATGAAAGCAACCACATCTACAACCACCGCTGCTCTGTTGTCTTAATGGCAAAGAAATTGTTCTGTTCCTTGGCTTCGTTGGTGTGAAAACATGGTACACTCTAGGTACAATTTACTTTCATGATGGATATTCATATGATTTTATATATCGCCCTATAGTTCATGTTAGAACAAATTCACGAGGTTTTCTGTTCTTTTTGTCTTGTCTTTACATAAACTTTTAATCTTCAAATAATACATTGCTTGTTATGTTAGCTCAATTTCAATCTTGATAGCTTACTAAGTTATCTATTTACTTGTTATGTACGCTCAAACTTTAATAGCTAGTGGAGCATGGTTTAGTTTAGTACTAGTGAATACACTTTTATCTTTTATAGTGTAAACTTTCTTATGTCTATTAATGAATTTAATTGGTTTATGCAGCAATAGAGAGAACAATGTGAGTATACTTTTTTTGATGGGAAGATTATCCACTCACTCACTAAGGGAATTGCTTGAAACAAGGAGGAAAACATCAGAGATTATTACCAAGTGGATTTTTGTTGTGAGCACTTGATCTGAGGTAAGATCTTATAGAGAATTCAATAGCAAATGTATCTTTGATTGAATTTTTATTCTTATTTTTGTTTTAGGGGGTATTGAGGATGACTAACACCTTCATAGCTTGTTAGGTGGAGGAGCTATTATATCTCTGTTGGACAAATTGGTGTTATTTCCGATACTAATGACCTTTGGTATCGGAAATTATACCTTTAGTATCAATAAATTTCCGATACCAAAGACCAATTTTCTAGTAGTATTCGTTCCAATTTCTACACTGACAATTCCTTCCTCTGTTAACCTCACTTCTGGTCAGCCACCTTCGACCCAAAATACCCATAAAATTTACATTATTTGGGTCAACTGAACCACAAAACCATCAAGCTGCTGAATTAGATCGAATGCAGCTTGATGTAGAATTAGGAGGGTATGTGGAGACAGGAGAGTCATCAGAAATTTCAGAATTACAAGAGGAAGTTACTGAGGTATACAACTTTGACTCTTTGTGTGCCTTGGGGTTTCGGAATATTTACTTTTTTATGCTCTTGAATACATTATGTGTTCTGTAATGTCTTCTGATGCAGTGATGCATATATATCATGATTACTGGCAGCCTACATATGTATAGAGTATTCTATAGTATAGGCTGGTGTGCTAGGTTGCGCCGTTGTGGAATTAATTTGTCTACGGTTGTTTTAGCACTGAATTTCTGGATTTACATATCATTTATCAATGCAAGAGCATCGTAAGATTGTATGATAATAGTGCTAGTTGTGGTCCTGTTATTTTTGTTATATTGATATGCTGTCTCTAAACAAACATGTCAAAGATTCCATGGCCAACAAACTTAAACCAAAACACTTTTGAGACAATTCAATTGTTTGCACTAGTCTTTCTTGTCAATTATTGTGTATAAATTTGCATATTTGTGCCTTGTGAAGTTCTATACTTGAGAGATGAATCATACTCTTGTACCTTGAAACATTTTTCTAGTTTTATGTCATGTCTTCTGCTGCCTGCACTTCTGAACACCTGAAAAAATACTACATAAGATCATTTATTCATTAGCATCAGTAACTTTGTAATTGACTGCCGGAACATCAATTTGACAGATACCCTCTAAAAAACACTGCTATTGGAAGTGTTAATATGAGCACTGGAGAAGTTATTGAAAATATCTCATTTAGGCACCGGAGAAGCTCTTGAACAATGTGAAGCTGGCACCACTATGGAAGTTGTTGCTGCACAAACAAAAGCAATTGCTGGTACATGTTTAGATGTTCATGTATGATTATATCATTGAAAGTGCCGTGCACTGTATAGACGTTATATTGATCTTGAATGTGACTAGTCCAGCTTAAGACTAGATGGGATTATTATTATGTTATATTAATGCTTTAGATGCGCAAACTAATCAAATCTGTCTGTAACAAATATCTATGTATTATCATAAAGCATAACTCTATTGCAAAAAGTTTAGCATGTTCGCCATGGATCCCCACTATCTACCTTTAGTGTATGGATGTTGGTAAAAGATGAATATTCATGTCTAGCTTTGTCTAGCAGAATATAGCTGTTTGCTTAATGACCTCTATATGTGCTCATGTTAAGCCCTATCTCACTATGTGGAATTTGTTCTTAGTTATGCATGAACCTTCATGTTTGTATTGTTTTACTTCTTGAGAATGGTTGGATTGTAGATGTCAAGATTAAATTACTTCATGATATTTCTGACTTTTGATCCAATATGATTTTATTACCACAGATCGAGTAACTGACTGGACAAATGTAGTTGCTTATGAGCCAGTATGGTCTATAGGAATTGGAAAAGTTGCATCTCCAGAGCAGGCTCAGGAGGTATACTTTTAGTTTTCTTGTCCAAGTTGGGGTTGGGTGTTCTTTCTTGCTACATTATCAAATTTCTGCCTCTCTTTTAACAACACAGTAGCTAAGTGTGTGGTAAACTAGTAATGATTCTATGACGACTTGTGCTTTTTTTTTTAAAAAAATAAATAAATAAAACAATATAATGTATTTCCTTAAAACAAGTATTAATTTAATTATTTATTTTGATTTAATAAAAAAAGGATTTTATCGCTTGGGGCAGGTAAGACTATTTACATATCTGACCTTGCCTGGAATGGTTTTATATTGGGTAGTTGTTGCATTATACGCTCATGTCTTTTTGGTCTTAGGCTTATTTTGGCGCATTCAAATTTTAGAACAGAAATGAAATTGCAATATGCCAACATCCTCAGCGTGTTTGCCAAAGAACTGGATAGCGGTACTCTTGCATAATCAGATAAATAAATTAGTTTGGATTCAAATAATCTCCACTACTTTTGACATATTTGTGCTTAGCCATGTTTATTTATTGAGTCGGGTTTTGGCTTCAACACAAACGATGGTCTATCTTATGACATATTTTGTACTTTTTTTTTCTCCTATCAAACATAATTGTATTTATAGCTGGTTGAGTTTTGCTTTCTACAAATTTAGCTACCAAAGTTGTAGGCCTTGGGGGTTTAGTATTCTTATTTTATTCTAGTGCATGAATTTATTATAAGCCTTACTTTAGTCATAACCTTTTGTGAATGTAATTTATATATTGTACTTGAGTACTTCATAGTAATTATTGCTCAAAGTCTCAAACCATAAATCAAGCATTTTATACAATTTTGTTCATGCCCCTTTGTAAAAAAAATAAAAAATAAAAAAATTCAATAAGAAATACTTGGTGAGAGGTGCTTACTGACCTATGAGAAATATTGTTGGTTTCAATAGTATTTCTTTTCCTTAACTGTTTTAGGGTTTAGGGTTTAAGGTTTCAGGGTTTTACCTGGGTTTAGGGTTTAGGAATTAGGGTTTCAGGGTTTTAGGTTTAGGGTTTAAGGTTTCAGGGTTTTACCTGGGTTTAGGGTTTAGGAATTAGGGTTTAGGGTTTAGGAATTAGGGTTTAAGGGTTTTAGGGTTTAGGGTTTTAGGGTTTTAGGGTTTTAGGGTTTTAGGGTTTTAGGGTTTAGGGTTTAGGGTTTAGGGTTTTAGGGTTTAGGGTTTTAGGGTTTAGGGTTTGGTTTTTTAGGGTTTAGGGTTTAGGGTTAGGGTTTAGGGTTTAGTTTGGTTTTAGGGTTTAGGGTTTAAGGGGTTTAGGGTTTAGGGTTTAGGGTTTAGGGTTTAGGGTTTAGGTTTAGGGTTTAGGTTTAAGGGTTTAGGGTTTAGGGTTTAGGTTTAGGGTTTAGGGTTTATTAGGGTTTATAGGGTGTTTAGGTTTAGGGTGTTTAGGGGTTTTAGGGAGTTTAGGGTTTAGGGTTTAGGGTTTAGGGTAGGGTTTAGGTTTAGGTTAGGTTTAGGGTTTTTTAGGGTTTTAGGGTTAGGGTTTAGGGTTTAGGGTTTAGGGTTTAGGGTTTAGGGTTTAGGGTTTTAGGGTTTAGGGTTTAGGAGGTTTAGGGTTTAGGGTTTAGGGTTTAGGGTTTAGGGTTTAGGGTTTAGGGTTTAGGGTTTAGGGTTTAGGGTTTAGGGTTTAGGGTTTAGGGTTTAGGGTTTAGGGTTTAGGGTTTAGGGTTTAGGGTTTAGGGTTTAGGTTTAGGGGTTTAGGGTTTAGGGTTTTAGGGTTTAGGGTTTAGGGTTTAGGGTTTAGGGTTTAGGGTTTAGGGTTTAGGGTTTAGGGTTTAGGGTTTAGGGTTTTAGGGTTAGGGTTTAGGGTTTAGGGTTTAGGGTTTAGGGTTTAGGGTTTAGGGTTTAGGGTTTAGGGTTTAGGGTTTTAGGGTTTAGGGTTTAGGGTTTAGGGG